GGCCTGCCGTGTGGTTTGGTAACATCAGGACAGTGCCTTTTTACTTGTCAACCTTGGGGCTTTTCAGCCTTAGCAGACAGCAACTGTCTGAGTGAAGAAAAGCCTCTAGCTCCAGTGGGCCGGGAGCAGGAAGCAGAGCTGGACCCCAGGGTTGAGGGACTTTCACCTAGCCCCTAGAGCCTGGCACTTTGAACTTGGACTAAAAGCCTCCAAATTGTAAGAATAAACTCCTGTTTGCTAAGGCCTTCCTATTTGTGGTATATTCTTGTCAGAGCAGCACTAGGTAACCAGAACACCTTGTCTTCCTGAAGTTTGGGGGCTAGTGCTGTTGTAGCAGGTGGGTGGCTGTCACAAACAGAAATCTATTTTCTCACAGTTTAAGAGACAAGAAGTCTGAATTTAGGGTGCCAGCTCTAGAGAAAGGGTCTGTCTTCTCTCTATCAACTCTGGGGTAAGGTCCCTGTCTATTCCGAGCTCTGCTCCTGGTCGGTCTTCATGTGGCTTGACGTCTGTCTTCCTCCATCTCTGCTCTGCTCCCTTGTTTAATGTCTTTTATATCTCAAAAGGGGAGCTCTGGTGGTGTAGTGCCTAAGGCATTTGACTGCTAACCAGAAGGCTGGTGGTTCAAACCCACCAGCCACTCCTCAGAAGGAAGATTGGACAATCTGCTTCTATAGAGATACTGCCTCAGAAACCCAGGAGGGGTTGTTATGAGTCGGAATCAACTCTACGGCAGTGAGTTTAGTTTGTTTTTTTTTTTTTAAATATCTTAAAACAGATTGACTTAAGGAACCCCCTGCACTAATCCTGCCTTGTTAACATAACAAGAGGTCACAGGCATAGAGATGAAGACTTACAACACGTATTTTGGGGGGGTGGAGTGGGGATAGAAGTCAGTCCATGACAGGGATGGTTGGTTACATTGTGTTGATGTGAACCTGAGCTCTCTTTAGTACCAGCTGATGGCGCTCTAGCTTCACTGTTGCCAGGACTCTGGAGGTAGCTGTGTGTCTCCTTGTTTGACGTACTGCTCCCAAAGCACCTGTTTGCTGTGGCACGGGTGTCCTGCACAGCAGTCCCTATGCACGCTTCTCAGCTGGCGTTCCTTACTGTGTTCATGTGTAAGTATATTTATAGTAGATTTATAACTGAAGTGGATTTTTACTTGCTTTGTTATTAAGAATACACACAGCCGACATTCACCAGTTCAGCAGTTTCTCCACGTACAATGCAGTGACACCGATGACATTCTTTGAGTTGTGCGACCATCTCACCCTCCTTTGCTGAGTGTTCCTCCTCCATTAACATCAGCTGACTACCTCAAGGTTCCTCTGTAACCTTTGGAGTTGCTGTGGTCAATTTGATACCGTAGAGATAGTTCTTAAAAGAGCATAGTGCTCAAGGCAGACATCCTTTACTAGTTGAGCTAAACTGTTGTTGAACCTGATTTTTTAAAACACAGACTATTCTACCTAGAAAAGACCATGGAAATTACTTCAGGTTCAATTCCATAGCTCAATTCTTTCAAACTTTTGTGATGGCTACTAGCAGTGAGCATACCTTCTTCACCACAACCTAGTATACAAGCAAAGCTATGTAAATCTGGGCAAAGTTTCATGACCAGTACCCTAACTATGTCCAGTGACTCTTCTATATTTTGTTCTGTTTGAATCTCATTAAAGGTAAATAAATGATGGTTGAGGGCCCATAACATTGACTTCAGGATCCTTAGGTAGGTCAGTGGTTGCAGCTGAGAAAACCAAAAATCAAACCCACTGCCATCAAGTTGATTCTGACTCATAGCAACCTTCGTTGGGTTTCCAAGGCTATAAATCTTTTATTATTATTATTATTATTATTTTAATTTTTATTATGATTTGGGTGAAAGTTTACAGAGCAAATTTATTTTCCATATAGAATTTCATACACATTTTATTTCATGGCATTGACTGCCATTCCCCACAATGTACTAGCTCTTTTCCCACTTCCTCCCTGTAGTTACCTCTTCCCTGTGTCCTTCCTTCCTATGTATTCCTGCTTCCTTCCCCTCACTCCCCCTAGCTATCTCCTCGTGCAAACACTGCCTTTTGTTCTCCCACTATTGGTCCAAGGCTATAAATCTTAATGGAAGTAGGTTGTCTCATCTTCCTCTGGTGGAGCAGCTGGTAGGTTCGAACCACCAACTTTCTGGTTAGCAGCCAAATGCCTTACCCACTACGACCTTGATTTTCCAGAGCAAGTAGTTGGCTTGAGTAGTGAATGAGCAGAGGAAAACTAGTGAGTGGCGTGGTGTGATGTGGCATGGCAGAGGGCATGTATTTTGGAGAAAGACAGACTTAGGTTCAAATCCTGGCTCCGCCAGTTGCCAGGGATTTGACCAGGGTAAGTGAGTCGATGTTCCTGGGTCTTAGCCAACTGTAAAATGAGACCATCACTCCCAACCTGCCTTGATGGCTGTAAGGTTAAATGAGAGACCCTCTGGTGTAGTAAATGTTCAAGTCACAGTAGCGGTGAAGCCCCAGGATCAGTTATCTCAGTACTTCTAGCCCAGTGCTCTTTGTACAGGTTGCAGGACTTGCCACGACAGGAGTTATAGGGCAACCTTGAGTCACAGGTGGATTGTAGTCCTCAGCTGCCCCACCACCTGGGAGATCAGTTCAGGTGACTACTGCGGTCAATGCCTGTGAGTGCTGCAGGTTTATTACAGGAGTGGGACTGCCTAAGAGTGTTGGCTGTCACAGTGCCTTCAGTGCAGAGGAGTTGACTGTCCTATGCTTGCTCATGGGCAGGTGGTTGAGGCTAAAGGGTGTGTGTATGTGTGTATGTGCGCATGTGCGCATGTGTGCATGCACAACATCAGCTTCAGGAGAGACCAGAGGACGTACTCTGCAATGCCTGAGCCTTCACCTTCTCTCATTTTACACTTAAAATCCATTTTCTCTCTCTTTTTTAAAGAATGGCCACCTTTTATATTTTAGATGAGTTTATTTTCTGATTATAAAAGGAATGAATGCAAATTTGATGTAAGCACATAAACAAGAAAATTGAATTCAGATAAAATCCTGTCAAGAGAAACCCATGTATTAATATTTGGCATTGTTTCTTCCACTTATTTTTTTCATACATTTAAAAGAAGTGGCAATAACTCTGTACATTCAGATGCCTTTTTAATGAAATCAAAAGCTGAACTGTTTAGATAGCTATAGATGAGTACAGTGGCAGAGGAAGGGAGGAGTGATCTCTCACTGTCTCTGAGACTGAGGAACGGCCCTTGACTTAGTTTTCCCTTTGTCAGGAATTCAGGTGTGAAGAAGATTTTGACTTCAAAACTCTTTTTTACTTTCTACCATTTCTCCTTTATTTGACATGCCCTCCAGAGGTCAGAGGAGCCCTTCTGGCTCAATGAGTGGCTAAGTGCTCAGTGGTTCAAACCCACCAGCTGCTCTGCAAAAGAAAAGACCTATGAATCTACTCCCAAAAGAATTCAGTCTTTGAAACCTTATGGGGCCATTCTACTCTATCCTATAGGGTCTCACTATGAGCCAGCGTCAATTTCAGTTTGACAGCAGTAGGTTTCTCAGAGGTCAGAAGAATAGATCTTAATGGGTTTTATGTTGCTGAAGTTAACACCCCATTAAGTTGCTGGTGGAGTCCCCACATGGTGCAAATGGTTAAAATAGCTGCTAACTGAAAGGTTAGTGATTCAAGTCTACCCAGAGGCATCTTGCAAGAAGGGCCTGGCAATCTGCTTTGAGAACCTTCTGGAGCACACTGCTGCACTGATACATACCATACAGGGTTGCCATGACTCAAATTTGACTTGATGACAACTGGTTTAGTGGTAGATTGCTGGTGTAATTGCTGTTTTTCCATGGAATGTGAACATTGGGTTGTTTCTCATAGTGCTACTAAACTTATATATGTTGCTGTTGTTGTTATTAGGTGCCATCGAGTTGGTTCTGACTCATAGCGACCCCTGTACAATAGAACAAAACACTGCCTGGTCCTGTGCCATCTTTGTAATCATTGCTATGCTTGAATTTATTATTACAGCCGCTGTGTCAGTCCATCTAGTTGAGGGTCTTCCTATTTTCCGCTGACCCTCTACTTTTCCATGCATGATGTCCTTCTCCAGGGACTGATCCCTCCTGATAATATGTCCAAAGTACATGAGACAAAGTCTTGCCATCTTTGATTCTAAGGAGCATTCTGACTGTACTTCTTCCAAGACAGATTGGTTCATTCTGGCAGTCCATGGTATATTCCATTTTCTTTGCCAGCACCATAATTCAAACTCATCAATTCTTCTTCAGTCTTCTTTATTCATTGTCCAGCTTTCACATGTACATGAGGCAGTTGAAAATACCTTGGTTTTGTCAGGTGTGTCTCAGTCCTCCAAATGACATCTTTGCTCTTTAGCACTTTAAAGAGGTCCTTTGCGGCAGATTTGCCCAATGCAGTGTATTGTTTGATTCCTTGACTGTTGCTTCCATGGATGTTGATTGTGGATCCAAGTGGGGTGAAATCTTTCATAAATTCAATATTTTATTCATTTATTGTGATACTGCTTATTGGTCCAGTTGTAAGGATTTTCGTTTTCTTTATGTTGAAGTGTAATCCATACTGAAGGCTGTAGTCTTTGATCATCAGTAAGTGTTTCCAGTCTACTTTCAGCAAGCAAGGCTGTGTCATGTGCATTTTGCCCATTGTTAGTGAGTCTTACTCCAATCCTATTGTCACTTTCTTCTTCATATATAGTCCAGTTTCTTGGATTATTTGCTCTGCATACAGATTAAGTAAGTACGGTGAAGGGTGCGACCCTGATGCTGTCAGTGCTTTTCACCTGCTGCAGGTTCCTTCCCCAGTGGTCCCAACCAGACTGCCAGGAAAACCTGGGCATGATGCAGAAAGGTGACCTGCCCTCTCAGACTTGGACCCAGTTGGCTCTCTGGAAGTGGTGGCCCAATGTGAGGCTAATCTGTTTTCTCTTTTCCCCACAGATTTTGAGGCCAGCTTTATAAGGCTGATGGACAAAATAACTAATGGTTCTCGAATTGAAATAAACCAAACCGGTAAGTTCCTTCACTTAACATGCCTGAAAAGTACCCACCTGCATTACATCAGCATTCCTCTGCTTTTGATGATGTAGATCTCATGTTCAAATGGGAAGACTCAGCTTCCTGTGACACCTTGTTCAGAGATATATGAGAAATTCCCCAATTTGTGAGGAATATAGTCCTTTAAGGAGGTTAGAAGACTGAGAAATTTCAGATCAGCAAGCAATCACATCCTTGTTTTTTAAAACTAAAAATATACCTCACACTTACAGGTACCTTTCATTTCTTTTTTTTTTTTATTTTAATGCATTTTATTGAAATATAATTTATGTACAGTGAAATACACAGAAATAAAGTGATGGGTCAATGGATTTTTTTTTTTTTTTTGCAGTGTTCTCTCCCCTCCCCTCCCCTCCACTCCCACCCCTAGCAACCAACAAAGAAAGTTTCCCTCCATATATAAACCTTTCCTTGACCCTCCACAACAACAAACTAATACTATATTTGCCCTTCTGTGATTGACTTATTTCACTCAGCAGAATGTTCTCCAAGTTCATCCATGTTATTTGGTGTTTTGCAGACTCCACATTACTCTTCAGTGCTGCATAGCATTCCAGTATGTATATGTACCATAGTTTGATCATCCACTCTTCTGCTGATGGGAATGTAGGCTGTTTCCATCTTTTTGCTATTGTAAATAGTGCTGTGATGAACATGCGTGTGCATATATCTGTTCCTGTCCTAGCTCTCACCTCCCTAGGATATATACCTAGTAATGGGATTGCTGGGTCAAATAGTATCTCCAATTCCAGCTTTCTAAGGAATCACCACATCGCTTTCCACAGTGGTTGTGTCACTTCACAGTCACACCAGCAGTGTATGAAAGTCCCAATCTCTCCACATCCTGGCCAGCATTTGTTATTTTCTGTCTCCTTGAACCTCACCATCAATTCTGGGGTGAGACGGTATCTCATTGTTGTTTTGATTTACATCTCTCTGATGGCCAGTGATTGTGAGCATCTCTTCATGTATTTGCTGGCCACCTGAATATCCTCCTTGGTGAAGTGTCTATTCATGTCTTCTGCCTGTTTTTCAATTGGATTGTTAATTCCTTTGATGTTCAGGCATTGGAGTTTTCTATAAATCTTAGAGATAAGTCCTTTGACAGATATGTGATTATTGGCAAATGTGAATTTGTTGCTGTCATTTTTGTTATGTGCTTTTTCGTGGTGTTGATTTCTTTGTTCCATATAATTTTCTGTGCTGAGCTCGTTTTGTTTAGGAATTGTGTTATCACTTCCTTTGTTGCTATTGTTTTAGTACTTGCTAAATATTTGTGCTGGTCCTCTTTTTTATTTTGATGTAAAGGTTTATCATTTTTCCTTTGAGGTTACCCTGAGATTTATAGTTTTCTTCCCAAGTTTAGAACAGTCTGTTCTATCTTGTAGTTGTCTTGACCTTCCTACCATCTAGAAGTTCTATAATGACACAGATATTTTTCCTCTTTTTGGTTTGTAGTTGTCCTCATTTGTCAGTTGGTGTCTCTGGTTCCCTGTTTACAATCTTGTAGGCTTACTTACTTTGGATACTTCCATAGCTGGGTTGATTTCTGGGTTATATCACCATGTGTGTTAATGGTCGGTTGTTGTTGGCTGTTGCTTCTTTGTCCAAAGGACTCCCTGTAGCATCTCTTGTAAGCTTGGTCTGGCTTTAACAAATTCCCTTAATTTCTGCTTATCTGGAAATGTCCTAATTTCACCATCATATTTGAGGGACATTTTGCTGGGTACATAATTCTTGGTTGGAAATTTTTCTCTTACAGGGCTTTATGTATACCATCCCACTGTCTTCTTGCCTGCATGGTTTCTGTCGAGAAATCTGAGCTTAGTCTCATTGGTTTCCCCTTCTAGGTAACTTTTCATTTCTCCTGTGCTGCTCTCATGATTCTTTCTTTGCCTTTGGTTTTGGTGAGTTTGATGATGATATGTCTGGGTGATTTTTCTTTCTCTTTGGTTTCGGTAAGTTTGATGATGGTATGTCTGGGTGATTTTATTTTGGGGTCTATCTTGTTTGGGGTTCATTAGACTTCCTGAATTGATATATTCTCATTTTTTATCATATCAGGGAAGTTCTCTTCGGACAAGTCTTGGCTATTTTTCTCAGTGGTTTTATTTTTCTCTTCCTGTTCTGGAGTTCCAGTGATACATAGGTTATTCCTTTTGATAGTATCTCACATGAACCTTTGGCTTTCTTTATTTTGTTTTGTTCTTTTTTCTGATTGGTCCCTTTCCAAAGAAGTGTTCAGGTATTTGTCTTCAGTCTCGTTAATTCTGTCTTCCATTGCATCAGTTTTACTCCTTTGCCCTTTCAGTGTGTTATCTATTTCTGACAATTTAGTATTAATCGTCTGAATTTCTATCTGTAGATTTTGAATCATTTCTAATTTTCCATTTATTTTGTCATTTTGTTCTTGTATTTTCTTCCAAAATTCTTCTAGGGTTTTGTCTGTGTTTTCCTTGAGCTGTCTCTCAATTAGTTGAAAATACCTAAATATAATTCTTTTGAATTCCTTGTCAGGGAGTTCCAGTGCTGTCTCTTCTTCAGGGATGTGTTTTGGGTCTCTATCCTGGTTCCTTGTTTCTCCTGTTTCATCTTGCTTCTTTGTGTGGACTGTGATGCTCTGTTGTCTCCGAGGCATTGTGACGTTTTTGTGTTTATATTTAATTAGTGATTGTATGTTGGAGTGACTTGCCCATGATTTTTGTTTTCTTTGTATGTTATCTATGCAAGCAGGGTACTGTGGTGTGCTCCTCTATTCTCAGTAGTTGACAGCACTTGTACATTCACTGCCTGTCTCCTTTCCTGTTGTCAGCCTCTCCTATGTCCCTGCCGACCTTGGCAAACACAACCTATTCTTAGGTTCCTGGAATCCGAACGAGAATGCTATCACTTTAAAATCCAAAATGTTTTCCACTTGTAAAGATTCAAAATGGCTGCGCCCTCGGTCACTTTAAATATCCAAACTGGCCACCGCTTGTAAACATTCAAAATGGCTACACCCTTGATCACTTTAAATATCCAAAATGACTGCCGCACATAATCAATCAAAATGGCTGTGCCCTCTGGACAGCGGAAAGTCAATAGCTCACATTGTCTCCCTCCTTGTTGTTTCCCTTCCTAGTCATAGGCCACCAGTGCAGTCATCCCTGCAGCCATGGGTGACCAGGGCTGATCTTTAGGTCAATTCTCAGGTCCCAACACCACTTTGAAATATTCAGGCTGTTGGTCCCATCAGAGTAGCCGACTGTCTGTAGCTCCGACCATCTCTGTAACTCACCGGTTTTGTTCAGGTTTTTCCACTAGTTGGTGCCTAATCCACTTCTGTATAGTTCCTTTCAAAGCTCAGGGCTGCAGGATTATCTTCTGTATCTCTGCCAATTGGCTTTTCTTTTCTTTATTGAAGGAGGTCTGTGTCGCTTATCTGCCTATTCTTCCATCTTCAAATTACCTCTTACAGGCACCTTTCAAAGCACATCTACTTACGTTATCTCATTAAATTCTTACAGTAAACATCTGTGAGACAAGTAGTTACATCTGCTAAATTTTTATTTTGTATTTTAACACAACTTTACACAAGTACATGAGAAAAAAAATGTGAAACTCCAGTCAGCTCTTTCCTTTTTCATTCCTTTCTTCGGGAGTGGCCATGGTCACAGCCTGGGCTGCATGTGTGTCTCTATCACACATGTATGTACTTCAAACCACATATTGTTCATATTGTTCTCCAGCCAGCTTCTTTTCACTAGCAGAAGTGTCTCAGAAATTTCCCTGTGGGCACATTCAGGCCCACCTCAAAAGTATTCCATTGTATGTCTCCATGATTATTTAACTGCTTGTTTAGTCTAGACACTTCTTTTTCCCCCCTAAAAACTCTTATATCTGTGTTGTATAGGAGACCAGACCATGACCAACATCCTTTGGCCTACCCCATCAACTGTGTACCGTTGCACACATGTTCAGCGAAGGAAACTGAACTTTCCCATATATTGGTTCTCTTAAAGAAGAAGACAAGCTTGGCTTCCTAAGTGACCGCATCCTGCCTGAGGGTTATTGATCTGTAGCTGTACTCAGCCGTGCCTTGCAGAGAACAGGTTGAAGCTTGAGAAGTTGAGGTGCCCTTTGCAAGACTATGATTCCCCTAGTCTTCCTCAGTTCATTTACACTGATGTGGAGATTTTTTTCAGCAATGTTTTATTGGGGATTCAGATGAGATGATATTACTTTCTAGTTACGTCTGCAGCTGAGTTTAGGGAGAAAGGCATTTATAGATCCCTCTCTCACCCATGTCCTCCCACTTCCCCTTCACTCTCAATATCTGGTCAGTTTCTCATTTGGCTAATTTGCATAAACAGATGGATAGGCATGATTTCACCAGTTTTTCATCTAAATGGTTATATAGTCATTTTTTGACTTTTTGACCTAAAAGATTGATCTTACGACCCTAATACCATTTACAAGGAATAACCTAGATCTGTCCTTCCCTTTGAGAAGGGTTAATTCCTTTGTTCAGAAGATCATTCTGATTGTGATCATCTGGATTTGAATTGTTAGTATATTCTGTGAAACTTCCAAAAGCCGCTTCTGGTAAATTGTGCCAGGAGACATTGCAAAAGATCTTGAACAGTAATAGTATCTGGTTCATCAATACCAGGGTATTTTACTTTCTTTTTCCTCCAATATCTAAATAGTAAGAAAATATGGTACTTTTCTGACATTTAGCTGAATGATATGTGAAAAGTGCATAAAGACTTTTCTGCTAAAGCTATAAAATAATTTTAGATGTTTCTATTTGCTAATAATAAATTTCAATAGTTCCTATTAATTGAGTTTGTGCCAGTTACTGAATTTAATCCTCATAACACTGGCAAAGTTGGCCCATTGTCCTCATTTTACAGATGAGAAAAAAAAGAGGTTCTAAAGACTTAAAGGACTGGTCCAAGTACTTACTGACTCCTAGGCTTATGAGTTGGAGCCGACTTGACAGTACCTAACAACAACACAGACTTACACCCTTACTGCAAAACCACACTTCCTATTTCTGTTTTGCAAAATCCCAATGCCTGCATTCATGGGGAAATGATGTCATCATGGCATGTTAAATAAAATTCCACTGTAGGACAGAGTAGAGCTCCCCTATAGGGTTTCCAGGGAGCTCTGGTAGCATCGTGCCTAAGGCACTTGACTGCTAACCGGAAGGCTGGCAGTTCAAACCCACCAGCCCCTCCTCAGAAGGAAGGTTGGACAATCTGCTTCCATAGTGATACTGACTCAGAAACCCAAGGAGGGGTCACTACGAGTCAGGTTCGACTCGGCACATAACAACAACAACAACATAGGGTTTCCAAGGTTATAATCTTTATAAAAGCAGACTGCCATATATCTTTCTCCCATGGAGCACTTCATGGGCTTAAATTGCCGACGTTTTGTTGGTTAGCAGCCATATGCTTAATTGCTGCGCTGCCAACTTTCCTTCCATGAAGAAAGATGGTAGCCTTTTTCAACCACTGTACCTTCAGAGACTTCCCTCCGTATTTGTCTTTGTGCTTTGCCTTGTGTTCTGTTTTCATTATTAATGTGGGAGTTTTGGCTTCCCTATCAGACTGTATGTGCCCAGAGGGCAGGATGCGATTGGTCCCTTCATCACCTAGCACCAACTTAACCAAATGCAATGCTGTCAAGTCAATTCTGACTCGTGGTGACTCCATGTATTACAGAATACAACTGTGCTCCATAGTTTTGTTTTCTTTCTTTCTTTTTTTTTAAATTGTGATTTGGGTGAAAATTTACAGAGAAAATTCACTTTCCATACAGCAGTTCACATACACTTTCTCTCATGACATTGACCACAATTTACCACAACGTAACAGCTCCCCTCCCACTTCCTCCCGATAGTTACCTCTTCCCTGTGTCCATCCCTCCATACACTCCTGCCCCCTGAGCTGTCTCCCTATGCATAAGCAGCCCTTCTTTCTCCCATGATTGTTCTCTCCAAGTAGTCTATCTACCTCAGGTAAATGTTCAACTCATATGCCTGTCTTTTGTTTGGCTGGAAGCCACAGGTGTGGGTTCAATTCCAGACCTGAAGGGCAGCTAGGGGCCATAGTCTCAGTGGTTTCACCAGGCTCTATCGGACCAGCAAACCTGGTCCCTCCCCTTTTTTTTTTCTCCAAATGATTTTGAGTTTTGTTCCACATTGTTCTCCCTCTCTATCGAGGATCTCCTACAGAGATCCTCTTCCAAGTGGAGCTCCACAGTTTTCTTGGCTGTCATTTTTATGGAAGTAGATTACCAGGCCTTTCTTCCACAGAACTGCTGGGTGGGTTCCAGTAGCAGCCAATCATAAACCATTTGCACCACCAGGGACCCTCATCGCCAGCCACACAGTGGCTAATGGGTCTTTTGCTCCTGCCGTTAGATGCTCCAGTTCAGCCCAGCTGGTCTGATGCTAACCTCAAAAGCAGAGGTTTGCAAATACAAATGTACGTACAGGCTGGGCAGCTGCAACAATGCATAGAGGTAACATTATTCCCATGGGTAGTGATGGGGACTTGGTGAATGTTTGCGTTCCTTACCAGGCCTGCTCTTACCCTCTCCAGTCCTTCTGGTTGTAGGGGTGTAAAGTCCTTACTTGCCTTTTAGGCATCTTGTGTGGTAGTTGAGGTGTGTAGGAAATTTTTTGTCTGGAGGCTGGATGCCGCTGTGCTGACTTAAGGACAGCCTTTGTAAACCCTTGTAGTGAGCGCAGTCAGCGAGTATGGCTTTGGGGATGCTCTTCTGTGCTCTGCCATGATGTTGGCCATTCAGGTGGTGTGGTGAGGGACTTAATTTATTACCGTTTTTTACATTACACTCACAGTTTATCACTGTTACAGGGCCTTGACAACGCTGAGTCAGCCTGTGAGCAGTAGGAGTGGTATTTGGAGCTCCCTGGAAGGCCCTTGTCAGACTCGCCTCTGGGATCATGGCCTCTGTGACATGTCGCTTCTCTCTTTCCTCCGGTCCCAGGCACGACCCTGTACTACCAGCCTGGCCTCCTCTACGGCGGCTCCGTGGAGCATGACTGCAGCGTCCTCCGCAGCATCGGCTACTACCTGGAGGGTCTTCTGTGCCTGGCTCCGTTTATGAAACACCCGCTGAAGGCAGTTCTGCGAGGTGTGACCAATGACCAGGTTGACCCTTCAGTGAGTACTGAGCCTGGACCCTAGTGTAACTTCTGTTTTGACTCTTGTCACCACCTAACTTTTGTGAAAAAATGTTCTTTATGAAGCACCATTTTACTTTTGAGTGTATGTATACCTTTTGTGTGTTTACCTTGTGATTTAGAGGTTAATCCTTCTAGGAGATGCATGAATCAGACTTCTTGTTGTTGGCTGCTGTCACACTGGCCCCCAACTCATGGTGACTCCACACAAAGTGGAACAGAATGCTGCCCAGTCCTGCATCATCCCCGTGGTTGGTTGCAGATTGCACTGTGGGCTCCACAGGGTTTTCATTGGCTGGTTTTTGGAAGTAGTTTCCAGACTAAGACACTCTAGGAAGAAAGGCCTGGTAACCTACTGCTGAAAATCAGCCAGTGAAAACCCTATGGATCACGATGATAATGATCCACTACTGATAATGGGAACAGGCAGCGTTTTGTTCTGTTGTGCATGGCATCACTGAGTCAGAGGCCAACTCGATAGCAGTTAATGACAACAATGATATCTAATTTCTTTTCCCCCGAAATAATTTTATAGGTTGATGTTCTTAAGGTGACAGCCCTACCTCTGTTGAAACAGTTTGGGATTGATGGTGAATCCTTTGAGCTAAAGGTAAGAATGTGTGAAGTTTGGCTGTTTATATCTTTGTAAAACATTTCTTAGGAACTCAGTGTATATGTGTCATGTTTGAAGTCCCCATGCATCAGCAGACCCACAGAACACATGAACAAACATGGCAGACTTGAATTGAAAGGAACCCTTTAGTGATGGCAACAGCAGCTAGCAGTTACATTGCACCTGCTTTGTTGTGGGCACTGGTGTGAGCATCTTACCTGTATCTGCTCATTTAGCCTCACAGTGAACTGCTCAGGGTCACTGTGCCAACAAGCAGTGGGGCCACCTTGGTGATCTAGATGAGCTAGATGGAATTTATGTCCAGGGGCTCCCCACCTAGATGCTTAGAGGCATCTCGGGATTTTCTGACCTTGTAGAACTAATTTGGCATCTGTCTATCTGCTGTTGAGAGGAACTGCATCGGTCAGCTATGGTGACCCTGCATCTGCAGCTGTTTGGCATCTGTGTCCTTATTTGATAATTTTAAACAGGGGAAGTGACTTCAGTTTTGTTAATGATGTAGGGTTTTGAAAGCTCATTTATTTACATATGAGGGCAAAGGGGCTCCTGAATGTTAAGAAATGGGATCATATGATGAGCTAGGTCAGGTCCTCTTTTTGAGGATGAGGAAGCAGGTCCTGGATGAAGGGTGCTAGTCAGGGTTACTTAGGGAAATGACAAGACCAGGACTTTGACTCAGATGCATAGGCTCTGGGCCCACTGCACTTTATGATGCACCACAGTTGTCCTTGCCTGGCATGTGCCCTCATGGTGCAAATGAAGGTGCAGTTGTTTGGCAGGGCTGATGAGTTGTACCCGGAGAGCTATTTGCCTGTTGACAGGCCTCTGGTCTCCTCTTGCTGGGCTGGGTGTCAGGGTGGCTGATGGTCTGCTGTATCCTCACCTCCTCTCTCCGCCCGGGTACAGATTATACGGCGGGGGATGCCCCCTGGAGGAGGTGGCGAGGTGCTTTTCTCGTGTCCTGTCAGGAGATCCTTGAAGCCCATTCAGCTCACAGACCCAGGAAAAATCAAACGTATCCGTGGAGTGGCGTATCCTTTGCATTTGGTTTAGAGTGATTATTATTTTTTGCCTCTCCAAGGTATGAATGGCTAATAACTTTCCTTCTTCCCAGGCTATTCCTTCTGTTGTTGTTGTTGTTATGTGCCGTCAAGTTGGACCTGACTCATAGCGACCCCTCCTTGGGTTTCCGAGGCAGTATCACTACAGAAGTAGATTGCCCAACCTTCCTTCCGAGGAGTGGCTAGGTATGGTATTTTATTACCCGTGTCCCCTAACTGGTTCATTACAGTAGTATCTTGGAGATATTGGAGGTGCAGGTACAGACCATTGCAATAGAGTGAATATCACAATAAAGCAAGTCACATGCATTTTTAGCATATAAAAGTTATGTTTATACTCTATCATAGTCTGTGAAGTGTGCAATAGCATGATGAAAACTTTTGAAATATTGTGAGAATCACCAAAATGGGACACAGAGACATGAAGTAAGCACGTGCTATTGGGAAAATGGCATCCGTTGGCTTGCTTGATGCAGGGTTGTCCCAAACCATCAATTTGTAAAAAAATTTAGTTAACCTGCAAAATGCAATGAAGTGAGGTATGCCTGTATTATTTTTATTTTTTCCAGTTTATTCTTAAGCACGTGGCTCCTAAGTGTGTGACACTTTCCTAAGGGCAATGGTTTGGAAGCCACAAAAGCAGACCAGGTCCCCCCCCAAGAGCACATCATCTGGAAAAAACAAAACAAAAACCAAACTCACTGCCACTGAGTCGATCCTGACTCATAGCGACCCCTCCTTGGGTTTCTGAGGCGGTATCATTATGGAAGTAGATTGCCCAACCTTCCTTCTGAGGAATGGCTGGTGGGTTTGAACCACCAGTCTTCTGGTAGGCAGCCAAATGCCTTAAGGCACTATGCTACCAGAGACAAATCCACACACACAGTTCTGATGGAATGGGTGAAAACACAGGGAAGTATGCAGACTGGGTGTGGACAGTTTGTCTGGAAGACTTAGGAGGGCTGGAATACCAGTGGTGAACCATCTCTACCTCTAGTGTGTACTTATGCTCCCGCACTTCCCAGTCACTTCCTGATCGCGTGTGGAGGCTTCCTCTCTGTGCCTCAGGACGGTAGATACAGGGCCTTTCTGTGGACCAGACATTTCAGCCGTTGCCCTGCAGAGCTGCCCACTTGGCTAACACCACAGGAATGCAGGTTTTAGTTGAGGCTGTCATCTTTGGCAGTTAGGAAGCCACCTTTGGAAAAAGCTTGAGTTGGTCTTGTGATTTTTACTTGCAAGGCTCGTTGGCCTGTGGGGCTGAGCTTGGAGATGTATATCCACAACTAAAACCAAACCAAACTCTTTGCCATTGAGTTAGATCCAACTCATAGCAACCCCTCCTTGGGTTTCCGAGGCAGTATCACTACAGAAGTAGATTGCCCAGCTTTCCTTCCGAGGAGTGGCTGGTAGATTTGAACCACCAGCCTTCTGGTTAGCACTCAAATGCCTTAGGCACTATGCTACCAGAGCTCCTATAAGAGGGTTCAAATTGGGAGAGAGTAGCCCCACTTAGTGTGAGTTTGTGGCCTTAACTGAATTACTGCCAAAGCTCATCTTTTCCCTCTTGCCATCCACGAATGACCAAGGATTGTTTCCTGCTAACAGTTGGGCCTGAACAGGGCCGTGACCTCATAGTTAATGCCCCCCACTCCCATTCTCTGCTGCCTGATGTGGAGAGAGAAAAGAGTACTCTATTGTAGTTCTGTGGCACTGTCCTAGTCACCTCAAATCCACAAACCCAGATTGTGGGTTTCATGATTTGGTACAAAGAAGTTGCAATAGAGGCAGGAGAAGGAGGGGTGAGTTGGAATTTGGGGGACAATCTACTTCTCTGACTGTATGGAGGGAACTCAGAGCAGTGTCTGTCAGTCTCTGTCACACACATGTACACACACCCTCTGAAGGGCAGAGGTCCTGCATGGACTATAGCTGTGAACTTTTCTCTCTTGGATAGGAGTTGTTAATATGATGTTCCTAAATTGGCTTTAGGAGGTTCACAAACTCATGAAGTTGGATGCAAAATTATGTGTGCACAGACATTTCTGGGGAGCAGGCCCATGGCTTTCATCAGAGCCTCAGAGGGATCTCTGTCCCTCCAAAGGACAAGAACCTCTGCTTTGGGATTTGAAGCCTGGACTGGTGATAGGAAAGCAGAGCTGACCTTCCTTGGGTACCTGCTGCATGCCAGTTGTCATGCTCAGCTGTACCTGCTTTATTCCACTTAACCTTCCCAACCCCGGAAGGAGGGTATCAGGCTTCCCTGCCTTTCACTGAGGAGGAAGTAGAAGCTCAGAGAAGTCAGCACACATGACCCAGAAGGATGCACTTGGCTGGTGCTGGGGCTCAAACACAGATGATCTGATTCTAGAACTTGGCCCCAAGCTGTTGCACTGTAGGGCCTCCACCTCAAGCCTGACAGCTCCATAGTCACTCTGGGACGTTGCTAATTTTGAAGGGCCTTTGCTTCTTCGTGTAGCTCCATTTGCCCCAGGTTGGTGCTGCTACCCTCTTGGCCTCCACATCCGAGCAGGGCGGAGGCTGTCTTTCGGAAGAGGGAATGGTGGAATCCTGAGCAGGTGACTCAGTTGTATGTGCCCTTTGCCCTCATGGTAAACCCTGGGCCTTACTAGGGGGTTGTGGTGAGGGTGACAGATGATGATGGAGGATGTGACAAACCTCAGAGCCAGGAATGCTGTGGGATTATGTGTTAGGAGAGTAGCATGTCCTGTGTTCTCCCGGGAGAGTGGGCAGCCTCAGGCGTCAGAGGACAGCATCTTCCGGTCCAAAGGGCACGTCAAGACCCAGAACTGTTTGTCCGAGCTGTCTGTGGTCAAAGGGACATTCTGGACAGAAGAGATAGTGCAACTGGGTTCTGTGTGCATGTGTTGAAAAATCCCTCTTTGCTCTTTCCTCATTCCAAGTTTGTCCTTTGGAGCCAGTCAAATATTTATTGAGCATTTCTGGGTACAAAAGTAGTGTGCTAGGGAGCTGTAAGAGCTACAACAGCATAGGCCCTGTCCCATGGAACGTGTGGTCTCATGGATGAGAAAGAACACAGTGTAGGATATGCGGGCAGATGTGTGCTCAGTTCAGGTGAAGACCAGTCAGGTGCTGGTTGGGGCTTTGAGGACAGAGGGAGAGGGTGGAACTTGGGTTGGAAGGACAAGTGGAGGAGCCAGGATGGGAGGTTTTGGTGCCAGGTTGGGAAGCAACAACTGAGCAAGTTGGGGGTCTGAAGCAAGATCTGGGAGGGTGCAGAGCTCCTGGGAGACCCCCAAGCAAGAGGATGAGTCATTTTTTTGTGAAGTGTTGAGGTTGGATCAGAACGGTGCGAGAGAGATCAGGTCAGGTTCCCTGCAGGTTCCAGCTGTTGGCAGGAATCAATCCTGACAACTCATGTGTGCATTGTAGACTGCTTCATAGGGTTTTCAGGGCTGTGACCTTTCAGAAGCAGATCACCAGACCTGTCTTCCATTGTGCCTCTGGGTGGGTTCAAACTGCCAACCTTTTGGCCTGTAGTCAATTGCTTACTCTCTGAGTAATGTTATTGCAGCTTAAATGAAAGTTAAATATGTCCAGTAAGCTTATAGTAATTCTTGCACAGTTGGACTGGACCAGGCAGACCACATATCTTGTCTCACCTGTTGTTGGACTCAGCATGGGGCTCCTGTGAGGATAGAGCGTCACTGAGGTCACAGCTCCATTCCTCCCATGTGGACCACTCGCTGTGGACCACACAGACCTTAGACATGAAAAGCACTCAGTCCATATGTCTTGTTTATTTGATCTGTGGAGTTGGAGAGAGCCAGTCTCTGTTACAAACTCTGATTTTAGGCCATAGTTTCCAAGCCTTTTTGCTTCCTTTCTGGAATTCTATATTGTAGAGATGCTAGTTATTAGTCTTTGGACAATAAAATTGTTAGATGGTAGTGATGCTGTCAGTCACTTGTGATTCCTGACGACCACATGTGCAGAGTAGAGCTGCTCCGTAGGGTTTCAAGACCGACCTTTCAGAAGCAGGTCACCAGGTCTGTCTCCTGAGGCTCCTCTGGGTAGGTTTGAGCCGGCTTGTAGTCGAATGCTTGTGGATAATACAGGCTCCTTATACTTCTGTGTGCACTGGCACACAAACACACAGTAGGTGTAAGGTACCTCTGTTATCCACATATGAGCTAGTTAAATCTTGAATAATTAGAAATAGGCTCTGTGCATTAGATATAAACCTTTCTGGATCTTTATAAACTGCATCCACTGTGCTCGTTTACTAAACGTCTTCTGCTTCCCCTGATAACAGACTAGGAGGCTGAAGGGATTGGTCAGGTCAGCCTTCCAGGAAGCTGGTTCTGGCCTTAGGTTCTTGGCTGGGGGCTTTAGGAGAGAGGGAGAGGGTGGACTTGGGTTGAAAGGATGAGCAGAGGAATGAGTGTGGTGGGGTTTTGGTGCCAGGATGGGTTACAGCAAAGGGCACAGCTGGACCTGGTGTGTTTTCAGAAGTGCTGTTTCACAGGGAACTTTCTCAGTAGGTGCAGAGGCAGGTATGCCCACTCATTCCAGCACTGAGTGGAGCCTCTTCTAGGGGAAGGGGCACATAGGAAGTCTGGTGGGGTCAGGAGCTCTTCCTTGTTTGGGTTTTTCATCATGTAAGCCTTTTATAATAATAATATAAAAAACCTGAGTTATGGTATTAGAAAGTGAAGTCATTAAACATAATTGTGAGAATAGAATTAGAAGTCCTCTTTTGTAATGGTTGTTGTTAGTTGCCATTGAGTCAGATCTGAATCACGGTGGCCTTATGTGTAACAGAATGAACGGTTGCCGGTCCTGTGCCAGTTTCATGACCATTGGTGTGTTTGAGTCCATTGTTGTAGTTGTTGGTGTTGATCCATTTCATGGAGGGTTTCCCTTGTTTTTGTTTTTTTTGGCCCTCTGCTTTATATCAACCATGGTGTCCTTTTCTAGTGACCTTTGTTAATAATTCTGCAAATATCGGCCAGTTTTATGACTGACTTTCCCTCTCTGGAGTCCAGACAGAGTGGCTTCCTTAACCAGGTTGCAGTTACTCCGTACGCGTGTCCCCTCAGATGGCCAACCGGATCGTGGATTCTGCAAGGAGCATCCTCAACAAATTCATCCCAGACATCTATATCTACACAGACCACATGAAAGGAGCTAACTCTGGGAAGTAAGTGTGCGTTCTGGAAGCTTAATTCTGAAGTGAACCTAACTTTCTTCACATGCCTGTTCTGACAGAAGTTAAAACCGCCAGCTCTGAGGTTGGCAGCCAGAGGAGGAGTGGTTTCGGAATTAATTACCTTCTGATTTAATGCCATTGTCACCACCATGCATCCTTGAGCACCTGTCACGTGGAAAGCATCCTAGTGGCTAATACTGGGAGACTGAGGGGTCCTTTCCCTCAGGGAATTAAGCCTGTTGATTAATAAGCACCATTTTGCACTTTAAATCCCACAAAACATTAGTGTGAATGTGTTTTTTTCACCCTGAGTAAAAAACAGTTTGGGAAAAAAAAATCCCTTGTTGGCCTGAGTGCCACTTGACTTCTCCCTTCATCAATAGGAAAAGCACCTCTAGATTTAGAAAGCTTGTAGATTTGTGTTTGATCATTAGCGCCTTTGTGAAAAAGCTCACTGAAAGTAAAAACAAAATTTATGATGTGTCAATAAAATTAGGTCTTGGTTGTGTATTTAGAAGCCAAAAAGCAGGCTTCTAAAGCAATTAAAACCAAGTTTTTTTCCACTAAATTTTATTTTGTTGTTGAGAATATGTATAGCAAAATATGTGCCAATCAACAGTTTCTACATGTCTAATTTAGTGACATCGATTAAATTCGTGTTTTGCTACGATATTCTCACCCCTTTCTGAGTTATTCCTCCTTAATAACATAAACTCATTGCTTCCTAAGGTTCCTATCTAATCTTTCAACTTGCTCTTGTTAGTTTGATCCCATATTAATAGTTCTAAAAGAACATAATGCCTGACATTTTTTTAATAGTTAAGGAGCTCTGGTAGCGTAGTGCTTAAGGTACTTGACTGCTAACCAGACGGCTGGTGGTTCAAACCCACCAGCCACTCCTCGGAAGGAAGGTTGGGCAATGTACTTCTGTAGTGATACCGCTTTAGAAACCCAAGGAGGGGTTGCTATGAGTGGGGTCCTACTCAGTGGCACTTAACAAGAACAAAGTTATACTATTACTTCATTTTAAGAAGACTTTAGGGGATATTTTTGGTTTAAGGTTTACAGATTATCTCGGCAGTAATCGCAGGGGTTCATCCAGCCTCCATGGCTCCAGAAAATCCAGAGTTCAGTTCATGAAAACTTGAAATTCTGTTCTTTATTTCCTTCCTTTTGATCAGGATTTTTCTATGAAGTCTTTGATCGCAATGTTCAGTAACAGTAACTGGGTATCATCCAGTTCTGGTCTCCTGGCAAAGGAGGCAGCTGCTCCTGAAGGCAGTTAGCCACACATTCCATTTCCTCCTCCTCTACCTGACTCGCCTTCTTCCTCCGTTCCAGTTGAATAGAGACCATTTGTTGTGCTTTGGATGGCCGCAAGGTTTTAAGACTCCAGGCAGTATGCAGCAAACTAGGAAGTAGATCAGAAACACTAAGCGCATTATTAGGCCAATTAACTGGGATGTCCCATGAAGCCATGACCTTAAAACTCTGAACCAAGGAACCAGATCTCATCCTTGTGCTTGATAGTACGTAAACAGCCTCACAGCTGGGTTTTTTTTTTTTTTTTGTCTTTGTTGTAAATGTATCTATCACACAACTTTTGCTGATTTAACTTTTTACAGGTATACACTTTTTTTAAAGAAAATTTTAGACAGAAAAGTTGAACCAACAGTAAAATGAGCAGCTGTGTATTCCTGCCCCCCCTGTAGTTAACTGTAGGAGCTCTGGTGGCGTGGTGTCTAAGGCATGCGACTGCTAACCAGAAGGCTGCCAGTTCAAACCCACCAGTCACTCCTCAGAAGGAAGACTGGGCAATTTACTTCTGTAGAGATACTGCCTCAGAAACCCAAGGAGGGGTTGCTATGAGTCGAATCAACTCGAAGGCAGTGAGTTTGGTTTTTGGTTTGGTAGTTAACAGCAGGCGGTTGGCCAGATTTGCTTTTCTTGTGTGTACGTGTATGATTTTGCTGGACCATTTCAGTGCACATGGAGGCATTGTTACACTTTAGCTCTCAAGTTTTCAGCTCCTCAGCCTGGGGCTGATCCTGGAAGGTTAAGAAGTTGGCATTTTCAGTGGTGGCACAGTGGATCCTTTTCACAGTGTTCCACCTGAGGCCTCTGTCACTTCACCCATGAGAAGAAAGGACAAAGTCGAAGGGGGTGGGGCAGGACATGCTCTCTGACCTTCAGGGAGCCCAAAGGAGACAGGAAGTTGATTTCGGAAATGTGGTGATGGCTCATAGTCCAAAGCCACAAAAGTGGTGGTGTCAGAGGTTGGGAGAGGATTCATGTGCAGAGTGGGTGCTTCTGGAAGTGAAGAAGCCAACGGTGGCCCCAGCACCTTGGTGTGGTGCTGCATAAGAACGGCACACTGTGTCCTCATTTATGCCGTGGAGTAATGATGCCTGCATCCCGGCTTACTGGGAAGATGGGAAGATGACGTGTGTGATAGTTCGGATGCAAGGCCTGGTACAGAGTAGATATTGCAGGAATGGTGGCTGCTAGCACTGCTGTACTTTTCTGTCCCCTCCCTTCTTGGCTGAAGAGCTGGGATTGAGTGACAGCTACTTTCTGTGGGGAGGGGATTACAGAGGGAGGTGGGAGGTAGGTAGCAGTAGGTGCTGATACCTAGACAGAGGGCGGTAAGAACTACACTCCCCTGCTGGAGTGTAGCCTTTTACAGGCTGGTAACTGAGCTCACCCCACCAGTTGACAGTTGATGTTGAGAGGACTCAGATCCATGGTGGCCTCGTGTGTGTCAGAGTAGGAGTACTCTAGGGTTTGGGGTGGCTGAGTTTTCAGAAGTAGATTGCCAGGCCTTTCACTCAAGGCATTTCTGGATGGACTTGAACCTCCGATCTTTCAGTGTATAGCCAGGCACACTATTAGCACCACCCAGGGACACCCCGGTGTCTAGTGGCCCTTGTTAATGCTATTGTATGCTATTGATTGCTACATTAATAAAATAAAAACCATATCTATTGCCATTAAGGCCACTCTGACTCTTGGACGCTGTGTGTTACAGGGCAGAGCAGAGCTCCGCAGGGTTGACTATCATTTTCAGGGAAGTAGGTTACCAGGTCTTTCTTCAGTGCTGGTGGTGAGCTTCAGCCACCAACCTTTAAGTTAGTAATAGGTGAGTACAAAACATTGAAAAATCAAACCCATTGCCATCAAGTTGTTTCCAACCAATAATACCTCTGTAGGACGGAAAAGAACTGCCCATGGGTTTTCCAAAGCTGTGATCTTTACAGAAGCAGACTGCTACATCTTTCTCCTGTGGAGCAGCTGATGGATTCAAACTGCCCTTTCACTTAGCAGACGAGCACTTAACCATCATGTGCATTTCCAGAGTAAGCTAGTAGAAACTCAAATAAGGCTTCATGGAACCAGGAAGAAGCTTCTGGACAGAATACCATTAAAAGATGTCCTCTTCTCCTTTGCTGGCGAGTATGGACTTCGCTTCATGAGCCCAGCTGAGTGTCTGTGCCTTTGAATCCCCAGGTCTCCAGGCTTTGGGCTGTCACTTGTTGCTGAGACCACCAATGGCACCTTTCTCAGTGCTGAGCTGGCCTCCAACCCTCAGGGCCAGGGCGTGGCAGTGCTTCCTGAGGACCTCGGCCGCAACTGTGCCAAGCTGCTGCTAGAGGAAATCTACAGGGTATGTGCCCCGCCTCTGCCATTCCTGCCTCTCCTTCCTTTCCCTCAGCACCTCCTTCTCTTCCTGCCTTTAGCCCAAGGTGGTAGCCTGCTTCTGTAAACAAACAGTTGAGCATTAACTTGTCTCGTGGACTGGCTGACCTGGTCAGTGAGCAGGCTGAGCCCCACAGGGTAAGGACACAGGGCAGGTAAGTTTGAAGTGGGCAGAGGAAAGAACTGGAGCAGCGTTGTAAAGGAGAGAGAAGGTACAAGAAAGGAGCAGGTGAGGGGTGACAATGGAAGGGCACACCTCACCCTGATCAAAGAGGGACCACCTCCCAGTATCCCCCTTATTGCTGTGTGGAAAGGGGGACTCGTCAAAGAAGCTGGAAATTTGGGTTTGTATGTGACCTGAAAAACCAAACTCATTGCTGACAGGTTGACAACCCTGAAGGACAGAGTAGCACTGCCCCATTGGGTTTCCAAGGCTCTAATCTTTATGGAGGGAGCTATGGTGGCATAATGCCTAAGGCATTTGACTGCTAACTAGAAGGCTGGAGGTTCAAACCCACCAGCCACTCCTCAGAAGGAAGATTAGGCAATCTACTTCTATAGTGACACCGCCTTGGAAGCCCAAGGAGGGGTTGCTGTGAGTTGAATCCAACTTGACGGCAGTGAGTTTGGTTTGGTTTTGGAATCTTTATGGAAGCAGACTGCCACGGCTTTCTCCTGCAGAGCTGCTGGTGGGTTTGAATCACCAACCTTTTGATTAACAGCCTAGCACTTTAACCACTGATCACCAGGGCTCTTTTTGTATCTGACAGTTGATCCATATTTAAAATAATGTCACCAAACTAGGTTTTGCAAACTATATTTCTATGCTGTAGAGGATAAAAGAATGTCTAGGGGAAGCCTCTGCCATAGCATGGTAGGGGCTTTGGAAAGCCTGAGACCGTGGGACAGAAGGTGACATAATACTGAAGACTGATGTTACCCATTTGCATTTCACTTCTGCAGCTCTGCCAGCTGGACCACCCACCCACTCAGTGTCCCCATTCTTCTCTGTCAGTAAGCACACACACTTACTCCATTCCCCCAGATGAGTGGAGGTGACATGAATGAACAAGGAAGCAGTGGGGAGGGAAGGGAAGATGGTGGCTGGAGGAATGAAATGGAGCTGCCTGAGAATACATTCTCCAAGATTGTCCCCACCATAGAGGTGAGGCACAATCTTGAAGATTTCTGTGTGTCTGTGCCATCTTTGGCCTCGGTCCAACGTCAGTGAAGGTGAAACATTTCCCTTGACATGCAGATGGAGAAAGGATAACCTTAAACCTTCCAGAAGCAGGCTCTCAGGGGTGGGCCTCTCTCTGCTGTGCATGCCAAGCCGTCATTCTTGAACATAGCCCTCAGCCATGGCTCTGCTCTGGGCGATTAGCTACGAGTCAGTATGTAATGTTTGTCAGTCATCTCTTCCGCAGCTGAAGAGCTGAAGCTCCCTTCATCCGTGTATTTTATTCTCCAATTCTTAGTCCTCTCTGTGGTTCTTTTTGGAGATCTCCGAGGAAATGTTGGTGCTGTTTAGGTAGCAGAGAACACACCTGAGCCTACTGAAACTTGCAGCCCGGAAGGCGGGTACTGTGGACCTTTTGTGATGTTCTCTTCATGCTTCCTTTGCCATTGGTTCAGTGTATTGATTACGGAGGTGGGGTGCTGTCTGGGTTGGGGTATTGCTCTCCGGACAAACCTCGCAAAGGAAAACAGAGTCGTCATCTCTCTCTGGATCCATGTTAGTGTTTTCAAAAATGTCTCATTGGTGGTCACAGGGTAGAGCAGCAAGAATGAACTGTATCTGAGTTAACCAAACCTTCCAGGTCCTAAAAGGCTTGATTTAATATCCATATAATTGAAAGTGGGAGATGAAGGACCTGTCATTGTATCATTAGGAGAGTGCCCCTTCTCACCTCAGTTTGAGAATCAGGGAGGAAAGAGTTGCCCATTGGCAGACATGGTCCTATAGGAAGTGCCCTTTCACAACCATCACACTCAAGGCCCACTAACCCTCATGTTTTTGATGCTTAATTTCTAATGCTAAATTTTGTGGGTTTTGAAAACAGGGAGTAACTAAAAGTTGAGGGTTAACTTTTGGGGGTCAGGAGGTTGCCATGCCAGCTACAGAATTGAAAGTGCTCATTAGCTATGTGTTTGAGAGGAAGGAAATGTCTGTGTGATATGTGTATCCCTAGGACCCTATGAAAGGAAACCTGGTAGCAAAGTGGTTAAGCACATGGCTGCTAACTGCAAAGTTGGTAGTTTGAACACACCCAGCGGCTCCATGGTTGAAAGACCTGGTATTCTGCCCTCAAAGAGATGACAGCCTAAGAATGCCTATGGGGCCATTCTACCCTATCACATTGGGTCACTGTGAGTTGAAAATCACCTCAGTGGCACACAACAACAACACGACCCTGTTGCCTTATGGGGTTCCCCTTCTGGTCATGTCAGGTTGACTGTGTTGTTATATGGCAGGTTAAATAGGGTCACTCAACTCTCAGTGACAACTGTTCATTTCCTAGAACTGATTATGCTTTTTTGCTTATACCCAGTACCTTAGTTCTCTGTTGCTGCTATAACAGAAATACCAGAGTGGGTGGCTTTAACAAACAAACAAACAAATGTATTCTCTCACAGTTTAGGAGGCTGGAAGTCTGAATTCAGGGCACTGGCTTGAGGGGAAGGCTCTCTTGTGTGTTAGCTCTTGGGGAAGCGCCTTGTCTCTTCAGCTTCTGTTTCCCAGTTGCTTGGAGATCTCCATGTGCCTTGGCATCTATTTTACCCCAACTCTACTTTTCGAATGCTTCTTTAATCTCTTTTATATTTCTAAAGATACGCTTTATGCTAGTTCTCCCTTATTAACATGACAAGGACAACCACTCCCATGTGGGATTATGACCAGAGGCATGGAGGTGAGGATTCAGGACACATGTTTTGGGGGACACTGTATGGTGATGGATGCCAGGCTGCTGCTTCATCCCCGGGAAGGCTTTAGTTTTCACTGCATATACTTCTGTAAATTAGAAGGTCTATTTATTCTGATCATTTCAGAATTACAATGGCTTTGACTTAAAGAAGTTTATATAAGGTTTATGCTTTTTTTTTTTTTTTTTCTTTCAGATTTATTGTAATGAAAACATACATAACAAAGCATATACCATCTCCACTATCTCTCCATGTACAATTCGGTGACATTGATCCCATCATTCAAGTTGTAAGGCATCCTCACTATCCTTTTCCAAATCATTCCAGGAAACTAATGTAACCTCACAGCTCCCTAAGCAGAACCTTCATCCTCCTCCCCACCTCCACCCCTGGTAACGGCTGGTAACCTTTGGTTTTATGTATTTGCTTATTTCATATAAACAAGATCATCCACTGTTTGTCCTTTGGTGACTGACTCATTTTGCCCAGTGTGAAATGTCTTCAAGGTTCATCCATGTTGTGGCGTGTGTCAGGACTTCACATCTCTTTATGGCTGAGTAGTAGTGTGACATTTACTCTGTAAAACCAGTGTTCTGTTTAGTTACTGCAGGAACTTTGTAGTCTGGTATTTTACGGGTTCTGATATACGGAGCGCATGCTTCCTGTTCTTTGCCCCTCTGTTTTGTTGGTTTTCCATCTTCTGGTTTGCACAACGATTAATCATTGACATGTTTGTGTTTACAGGGTGGCTGTGTGGACTCGACCAATCAGAGCCTGGCCCTGCTGCTGATGACCCTTGGACAGCAGGACGTTTCTAAAGTCCTCCTGGGACCACTCTCCCCCTACACGTGAGTGGTTTTCTTTGGGCCTCAACATTCTGTCCAGTTTAATTTTCTCATTGCACAAGAAGACCCAGGTGCTGCACTGCACCTAGCCTAGCACTGTGAGCACTTCTGCTAGTTTTTATCTGTAAATGAGCCAAAGGTTGGGACTCATAAGCTGGTGGTGCTTCTTACTCATAAGGACCAGCCTTCCTTTCTTTCCTGTGGCTTCACCCTTCCTTACCACTCCCATGTAATTACAGTGGCATGACATACAGTGTGTTTTTCTTCTTTTCTCTGTGCTTTACATTTCATTTCTACTTTGGAGATAAACTCCTGGCTTTATTATAACTTGGATTTTGTTACTAGTTTTTTTAGTCTCTCTCTTCCGCAGCAGTCTCAATTGCTGTGGCCCAAAAGGCTGTCTTTTTGTCCAAGCTGATAGTGCTTGAGTTGACTGGAACAGATTAAGAAAGAGGCAACACTACCGGCCTAGTAGAGAAATTGCAGAGGTGGGTTGGGGACTGTTGGGTGTTAGCAGAAGCTGACTGCTGAGGTATGAAAAGGCAAGCACCTTTTAAAAAGAAGAGCTCGTCAGACGACTTGCCTTACCACCAGCACAGTGAGAGAAGCAGTTCTCAGTGATAGGAAGAGATGTTGCAACTTGAACACTAATGTGTGTGTGTACATGCACTGACACATATTCCAGTATATATACACACACGCTCATATGCCAGTCATTGTTATACAGCTGTCCACAGGAGGCAAGTCGGGGTGGGCCTGAGTGTGAGGAAGTATTCAGGTAGAGATGAGACTGAACTGCCCTTTTTCGGTTATCATGGTACCGATGCTGTATGTCTGAAAGGTACAGTACTGTGATAACTGAAGAATGGTGGTGCCATCACGTTGAGAAAGGGGTCAGGGCTGCGTTGGGGTCCCCATCGGACCATGGCTTTGCAGACATGGAATTCGGAAGCTTGGAAGAGATTTTTTCGCAGGGCTGGTGGTGAGAGGTTTTTGTGGAACAGGGACACAGAAGAGAGAATATGTTCTGTTCACAGTGGGGAGACTGAAAAGCCAGAACCTGGTGAGGGCTATACTCTCTCACAAGAACTTGTGTAAACTGTGTCACAGGACAGGAAACCTGAACTTGAGTAACCCTGGCGGGTGTGTGACATCAGTAGTCAGCATTACTAAACGAGCTTTGAGAGGCAGGCAGGGTTGGGGGCTTGGTGTCCTGAATAGAGATGCTCTCCCCACTGAGACTTGGCTAAAGTGCCTGGGAGCTGTGGACCGACATGGTCCTTTTCATTCTGCCTCCTGGCTGCCTGCACAGCACGAGGCTTGTCTGGAAACGTGTGTGGTCGTGGGCACAGAGTTTGGCAGAATGTTGTGTGAAAAATGACATGTATATTTTTACTTTTCCTTGTCCTTTCCTTTGCTTTCGGAGACCCCCCCCCCCCCCCCCCCCCCCCCCCCCCCCCCCCCCCCCCCGCAACCCCGCCACAAGGACCTTTGAGATGCTCTTTAAGGCAGCAGCTTCCTCAGAGGTGGGTCAGGATGTGACTGGACATCTTTTAAAAGTCCCCATGTCCTCCTGCACCAAACATTAATTACAGTGTTATTACTTCCAGAAACCTTGCCTAAAATGGTCGCCTCCCCTGGGAAAACTGAGTGGCCTGCTGAATGGAGCTCTAAGGGAGCAGGACAGATTGCCAAAGGCAGTGTTTTTAGAGGGGGAGTGGTGTGAGGAGACATTCCCCTCCCTCGGATCCCCTGCCTCCCGGGGCTTTATGCGGAGAGCCCCTGCCTGGGGTGAGGAAGAGTAGCCTCCTTTCTTGGAGAGCCAGCACACGGAGGGTTGTCGGGGTAATTGCTATTAAGTTGGCCCCCAACTCACAGCAGCCCCACACACAATGGACACTGCCTGGTCCTGCCCAACCCTGTGATTGCTTGTGAGTCAGACCATTGTGATCCATAGGATTTTCACTAGTGGGTTTTCAGAAGTAAATCGTCAGGCCTTTCATCCTAGTCTGTCTTAATCTGGAAGCTCTGCTGAAACCTGTTCAGCAGCCTGGTAACACACAAGCCTCTTCTGACAGGCAGTGGTGGTTGTGCATGGGTGCACTGGCCAGAAATCAAACCTGCGTGGAAGGTGAGAATTCTGTTGCTGAACCACCAGCATGCCTACAAGGTGGGGCAATCGAGTTATTTTCAAGAAAGCCAGATCTGTTTGGGACCCTTCTTGCCATTTAACCACTGCAGAGGGGCCCAGCATGATGAAGAGCAAAGGTGGGAAGGAGCATGTCCTCCGAGGACCCCGACAGCAAAGCCCACATGGCATTTGCATGGCTAGTGGAGGCTGGGACAGGGACAGAATCTGTAGTTGCAGTGGGATAGCAGTTATCCTGACTGGATACAGGAGCTTGGGAGACCAAACTATCACATTTTATTTTTCTAAATACATTTTATTGAAATATTTATGTATAATGAAATACACAAAACGAAAGCCACATGGGTCATTGCTCTTTTTTTTGCAGTGTTCCCTTCCCACCCCTGTACCACGTTTATTTTTGTGTGCAGCTCAAGCCGTGGAAGTGTGTTCTCGGATTTCTCAAGAGAACCAGAAGCAAGATAGTCCTTGGTTCAAAAATGTATTTCTTCTGGCAGTTTGCACACGTTTCAATTTGTATAAATAGCTTGTAGACGTCTGTTGACAGAGCCTTGGGATTGGGGAGGATGTTTTCCTTTCAGCACCACTTTCAAAACCCTTGCTGGGTTTGTCTCTTCCTCCCTGAGGAGCCCTGTTGGTGTGCGTGTGAAATTCTGACAGCTGTCCACTTAGAGCCATGCAAGATAGAGGGATGTGACTTGCAGTGACGCACTGAAACTGTCATAGAGTTGATTCTGACTCATGGTGACCCCATGTGTTAGAGCTGAGCTACTTGGGGTGTTCTTGGCAGTAAGGAGCCTTAGTGGGCAGCGGTTACACACTCAGCTGCTAACTGAAAGGTTGGTGGTTTGAACCCATACAGCCACTCCATGGAAGAAAGACCTGGCAGTCTGCCTCCATAAAGATTACAGCCTAGAAAACCCTATGCAGCAGTTTTACTTTGAATCATCTCTACAGTACCCAACAACAGCAACATATTCCTCTTTTATTTTCCATTTCCCACTGCTCCATTTCAGAAGTTTGCTTTTGGTGCTTTTCTGGTCTACTTGAAAAAGTAAGTCTGTTTATGAGAAAATTTTCAGGAGGAACAGACATTTTTCAGCCAAATAAATTAGTGTTGGGATACATTCAGGTAACAATCTGGCATGTAGAGATTATTAAGTTTGTTGAGTTCTGGATGATTTACATTTGGTGACTGTGGTTCTACTCTTCCTTCAAAAAGCTTAATTTTAGTTTGTTGTTGTTAGCTGCTGTCAAGTCAGCCCCTGGTTCATGGCGACCCCAAATAATGGAACAAAATACTGCCAGATCTTGTACCATCCCCATGATCAGCTGTGGACAGGACCATTGTCGTCCATTGGGTCTCACGAGCTGATTTTCAGCAGTAAATCTCCAGACCTTTCTTCCTAGTCCTGGTCTCAGGCTCCATTGAAACCTGTTCAGCATCATAGCAACATGCAAGCCTCCACTGACAGTTGACTGGTGGCTGCACGTGAGGTGCATTAGCCAGAAATCAAGCCCCATTTCCCACATGGAAGATGAGAATGCTACCACTAAGCCACCACTGCATCCTCCAGTTTTACAGTTCAGGGAGGAGTGGGAGGGTTTATACTTCATTTAAATGTAGGATGAATAGCAAGAAAAATATCATCAACAGCCATTTTAATTAGCACTTTTGGAAATGCTTTGGGAGAGGAGCCTGGGGTTACCAGCTGTCTTAGTCTTCTAGTGCTGCTATAACAGAAGTATCACAGGTGGCTTTAACAAACAAACATTTATTCTTTCACAGTTTAGGAGGCTAGAAGTTGAATTCAGAGTGCCAGCTATAGGGGCTGGGTGGAGGACTGTCAACCTTGGACTTAGCTCTACCTTTCAGCCCACTGGAGAAAGCTGGAGGCTTCTCCTGATTTATGCAGCTGTCTTCTGAGGCTGACAGACCCAGAATTGGCAGGTAAAACAGTACAATCCCAAGATCAGCCGGCAACGTGGAAGGCCACTGGTTCTAGCCCAGGAACTGGAGATGAAGACTGAACCAAATGCAGGATCCTTCCTGTATATACTGGAAGCAGGCCACACCCTGAAGGCAACTCTCCTTGAACTAATGAATTGCTCACAAAAGACTCCACCATGGAGGTGATTACAATGTCCAATCTCATTGTAGGGAATAACTACATCCAGCTGCCAAGCCACTCAAAGTCATGGCTCAGCCAAGTTGACAAACAGCCTTTGATTATCACACCAGCTCACTCTGCATGTGGCTAGAGCCCAGTCTGTGTGGTCCAAGCCCTGGCCCTGCTGTGGAGCCACTGTGGGTTCACAGACAAGGTCTTGGGCATCTCTTAACCTTGGTCTCGCCTGTGAGACAAGATGAATGAGTCTGAAGTTATGGGCTGTGACGGCAAGACTGAGAATTAAGGACGGCAGGTACTTCAGGTCCTGAGCAGTGTGCCTGCTGGGGGCTTACCCTAGACACCCCTTAGCCCATCTAGGGAAGTCTCTGTTCTCTGCTCAGGTCACTTTGAAGACCAAGAGTCTCAGTAAATCTACTCTTGAGTGATCTTTGGCCTGATGTTAGCTGTAAATCTGGAGTCCCTAGGTGGTGCTAACAGTTAACCCACATAGTTGCTAACCAAAAGGTTGGAGGTTCAAGTCCACCCTTGAACCTTCTAGAGGTGCCTTGGGAGAAAGGCCTGGTGATCTTCCTCCAAAAAATCAGCCATTGAGAAACTTAATGCAGCAGCTCTACTCTGACACGTGGGGTCTCTGTGAATTGGGGTCAACCGTACAGCATCTAGTTATAATCTATCAATTTGTCCTCATTAAATTTTTAATTTGTGACTTCAGCCACATTGGT